CCCCTTTAGTGTAAAGGTCCTGTGTAAAGGGTAGGGGAACCAACGTGTCAGACTTCGTCTGCTGCTTCGCCTTTTGTCAGAACTGGGTCAGCATAGACCAGTGGGAGGTGTGGCAAACTCTCAGACTTAGTCTATTTGGTAGAAAGGACAACAGGAAACCCATCTGTGGATTATCCATCATCATGCTGAGAAAAGGCGTTCAGGTAAGACAACCCCCCATCTGTTTCAAGAATACATGAATATTATGATCTCCCCGTGGGTTTTTGCATTATCAATAAAGCACTTTATACCAGGGGTGCCAAACTACCGGCCCATGGGCCGGACGCATCACAAGGAAACCACGCCCACCCCATTGCTGGCAATGGGGGAAAAGTTCCGCTACGTCACACAACATCACGTGACGTCGCAAGTTTGACATGTCTGCTTTATACTGTCAGTATTCCATAAGACATGTTTACAACCAATATAATTTTTGATGTAATATGCTATTCTATGATTTTGTCTTTATATTTTTCATCAGTGTATAAATAGCCAAGGGATTGTTTTTCCTTGTAGAAATTGTTTTATGGTTTATATTCTAAAACATTTTCTTCAGTGAATATTTAGCTAATAGTAAGACCATCCTAGTAATTTAAAACCTTTCTTCTGAAACCTCTTTTTGTTATTGACAGTGGCATTCCAGTATAATACATTGCCTTTGCAAAAGAATGCATGATTTATTTGCTGATCTTTAGGTATCATTTCAGGAGATGCTTTTTAGTACAGCTGCTTAAAATATTTAATCATTAATGGATATTGATTACATAGCCCTCTAATAATGCTGCTATTTTATAACCTGTAATTGGAGGGTTTCTAGGTTATTGGAAAATAATTTATTTTCATTAAACATATTGAAGACTATACTTGTTGATCTTTGCCGTCATGGTTTGGCATATAAGAATGTTTTCTGCCCTTAGAGTATTTCCAACACATACTTCATCAACAGTGTTTGTCAACAATATTTTCCTTAACCCAGGTTATAGTATGGAAATGCTTCTTAGATTGTTCTTAACCATCCTGCTAAGAGGAGAAATGTAATAACCACCTGCCATGTAAATTCTGCACTCCAACGTGTACTAATGGATGAAGTTATTTATTTATTTATTCATCAATCCATCCACACATTTAGAGACCACCTGACCCCTTAGCAGTTCTGCATAGTTTACAAATAAAAAGTGAAAAAGGATCCTATATAATAGAGGGGAGAGAAATACTGGGCTGTTTTCTAGAATAACAACCTCCTGGTTCAGGTATTTTTAATTTTTAAATATCAGAGCTATGATAGGGACTAGCAAAAATTTTTGGGTACAGTGTAGTGGAGCCCACAGGAACTACATTGGGTTTCCAGGTATAGCTTCAATTGAAGTTGAATATACACATTAGTATTGATTAATTAGAATTCTTCAATTAACTTGGACCAATGGTAGAGTCTGTCATGTAATTTTTTTCAATTTTATACCACCCATTTTCTGGAACCATAGCCAGTAGATTCTGTGGTAATACATGGACTTTTGAAGACAGGATATGGTCACTGTTGTTTGATTATAGGGAGAATGGTTTTATTGTCTTGCCAAAAAGTTACTGAAATTTAGCCTGAATGTTATCTTTCTATTTATGTGTTTATAAGAAACATGGATTGTTGATATACAATTCATTTCAATTGCATAATGGTGTATCAGAGACAAGACATGTTTTGATTACAGAAGATAAAATAACCATTTATTCAGAAATTGAAAAGGAAGGAAAGGAAAGGAAAGGAAAGGAAGAAAGTGAAGTGATACTAAAAGTTTCCAAAATCTTATCAGGGGATGTTTTGAAGGTACAAGGGAGATAAATAGACATCACTTAAGTAAAATTTAAAGGTAAGAAACATATGAAGGGCAGCAATGTATGCCGCATAATTTGCTCTCACTAAATGGGTTCTGGAAAGCACATAGATGATCATTTATAAGCCTGAAATATTTGACATTTTCCTTTATTCATTTACATGATGATATTCTAAGGCTACATGTTAATGATAGACAGCTATGTTTTTGAAACTAGGTATCGGGGTATATATGAAATAAGAATTTTATTTTTTTTAAATCTGGAATAAACCATTGTGTTCCAGAGTTTCTGCTAAACAGTTTTGATTCAAGCCTTGATTCAGTAGAACTAAAACTCAGTATGCTTTGGATTTTTGGACAAAAGAAAATAGGGGAGGGGGGAGAACCATTGCTAGTGTGTGTGTCACCCTGTTTTCCCTTCTCAGTAACTCCCAAAGTGACATATTCCATTTGACTCATCTACCCTCACATCTTCCCAGGGGCACTCCCACTCCACCCCAGGTGCCACCAGTCTTTCAGTCTTTCCTACCAGCTCCCTGATCTTCCCTGATTTTCTCTCCTTTTGCTTCCTCTTAGTTGCTAATATTTCTCCTGTTCCAAAAGTTTGCATAAAACAAAACACCTGAAATGTTTGTTTTTGTTCAGGTACAAGATTACCTGTTCTAGCTGTTTAGTAAATCCTAGCTAAGGTGGTTTCTCAGTTAACAATGACTAACTGAGGACTGGAATTTCTGTTGCCAAGCAGTGTGGGCATAAAGCAGAGTTATGTGACCACATTGCTTAGCAATGGCAATTCCAGCAGTCACTGTTGCCATTGTTAGGTGAGAAACTCACATGTTGCAACATGAGAAGAGGAATCCAGAAGCGCAGGAGGGTCAGCACTAAGGAGTACGGTGGGCAGGTGGTTAAGAGTATGGACAGCGGGGGCTTCAGAGGATGAGATCTCCATGTCATCTGGGGGCTCAGGAGAAAAAGCAAGAGCCATCTGCAGGAGTGCTATCTACATTTGTCGTACCTAAGATTGAACTCTCAACTTTCCAAGTGAGAGGCAAGCATCTGCACCACTAGGCCACTCTTGTGTCTTTGGGTTTGCAAAATACCAACATGAGAATGAGGAAGTAGGCATACACAAGATATCCTATTCATTTTATGAGTTTATTCATTATCTTTGCTTTTCTCTCTGGGGATAGAATAAGTTGCACTAACAATGGGCTGAGATGCCATAAAAGAGCATAAATCATAGAAACCTTAATAATTTCTAGGTGTATTGAAAATATTGGATAGGTGATTGTTTCCAGCTGTTCAATTGCTGATCCAGGAGTTTTATATACTTGCAAAAGAGGCTTGCAAGCTTCTTATTTGTGTAATTGCACCTGCCTAATAAGTCTGGCATCAACAGTTTGGAATGATATCTTATGTGAAATTGACATTAGATCCCCCCCCCTGATTTAATAGAAACCGAATAAGGCCAAGAAGTTAAATATATCAAATACATATTTCTATAGTATCTTTTACAGCTGTAAAAGAAGAAGAGTGTACTATCACAGTTTAAAAGGACAGTACAAAAATTACAACCATTAATACAAAATTAAATGAACATCAGTATTTTTGGGGTCACCTAAAAGCTGTGGAGAAATGCTCATGTCCTTCTGTGATGTAATAATGGAGATCCCTGACTCACCTGTGCTGTAAAAACAGCATAAAACCTAGTATGCATATTGAAGGCAGTAGCCTCTAATTGTAATGCCAAAAAATAATCTTACAGCTACCTGGTTACGGGCAACCTTAGGTCTTAGTGCATAGATAGGAAGTTAGCAAAAATAATTACTGAAATATCCAGTAGTGAGAAGTTCCCATGAATACTAGAAGTATAAAAAGAGGACATAAATAATTTTGAAGATTTAGTCTATGGAGGTGGAGTATGCTCACTTAGAATTCGTTTTGTACATCTGGAGTGAAGATTTCCTGGTAAGTAATAGAACAACAGAAAGCCCATTTAGAGGAGGAGATTGCTTCACTATCTGTGATGTATTAATTAGGAAAAGGCTAAAGACTGATAAGCTAGCCTTTTAATGGAAATTTTTAAATATTGAAACAATCTTCACAAAATGATGTAGTATCTCTTTATCATATTTGATAAGATTACAGCTGTTGAATGCAAATAAGCCTGGAAAATAAAATTTTACGGTCAAATTATCCAGATGCCTCCTTACTTTTTTCACTGTTAAAATAGAAATGCTGATTATATATTTAGCTGTTGGTATATTTGGGCATTTTGTGTCCTGCACTCTGTGGCAATAAAAGCTACTCTTATGCTCCCCCAGTCATTGTGAAGATAAATGTTTTTGCCTGACAGTGATAAAATCCATAAACTATTTTAGTATATCCTTGAATCTGAGGTTCAGTTTCTTTCTTCTCTTTGAGAGACAGTCTTGTATTTAAGGTGGTGGCCTAGAAACCAGGAAGCTCTGAGTTCTAGTCCTGTCATAGGCATGAAAGCTGGCCGGGCAACTGTGGACTGGTCACTTTCTCGCAGCCCAACCCATCTCACTGGATGGTTGTTTTGGGGGAAAAATAGGAGGAAGGTTATTTATTATATATATTTGCCGCTTTGACTTATTTATAAAACGATAAAAGGCAGAGTAAGAATCTAACAAAAATATTCTCTTCATTATACTTGTTCAAAGATCAACAGCCTTTTCAGCAGCAACATATGCTTTGCTTTAAGCAATTTAAACAAATAATAATAATAATGAGATGCCATAGATTTGGCTGTCATAAGATTTCTTAAAAATAAAAATGCCTTTTATTTAATTTTTTATTTTGAAGGTCAGTAGGCTAGCTCTTTTAAGAGGCCTCCGTTGTTGGGTTCAATTCTGGTTGTTGTAGTCTTCTGTTGCAATGCTACATATATTAAACTCACCAGATTTTGCCAGAACTATATGAAATTAGGTGGCTGTTTTGCTTCCCAGCTGAGAACCAAAGATCATTATATAGAATAGTAAGTGGAACTTGAATATATGTTTGTAACCATAATTACGTCTTAAAGATTTAAGTTCAATAAAAATATATCTTTTGGGGGATCCTGCAATTTTTACCCTTTGATCCATGTTGGGTATTTTTCCTTATTCCAAGGGTCCTGGTCTCCTGTTGAAAGTGATGGAATAATCTGGTCAGCATCTGCCATATTGAGAAACCAGCTCCTAAAACAGCTTGCCTGGGAGAAAGTTTGTGAAATAACGCAGTAACATGTTTGCAGTAGTATGCTTTCTTTTTTGTTGATATTTAATATTGGTCTTCCCTGACTACTATTACAAATCAGTGGGTCTTATATATTGTAGAATTTCATGCACCATGAGGTACACATGTTTTGATACTAAATTCCATTTTCTTGAAAGGTCTTCTTTCTAAATGTTCATTGGGCTATAAGTTGAATGCACAAAGATTTTTCACTCACAAAGATTTGGAATTCTTTGAGAAGAGCTGAAATCTGGAAATCAGATTTTTAATAGGATATAGGGCAGAATTGCTTTATATGTTAGGAATGAGTGGTAGCAGTCACCTGATAAATAAGCCAATGTTTGATTTCCATTTGTGTAAAATATATTTTTATATATACAACTTAAATCTGCAAAAGTACTAATATATTAATTCATTGGTTATTCTTCTGCCTTTTTAATCTTACGATGATTAGGTTGATACCAAAAGCAGGTGGTACTTAACTTTATTGGGTAGGGGTCATACTGCAAGAGGCAGCCAAGCCAGAAATTGGCTTAACTATTTATAGCTCTGTACATACTTTTAAAAATCCTGTGTCAAATCCTGTATTATTCTTTTGGTCCCCTCCTTGTATGTCTGCTTACTATTGTTTGTTATTGTAATGCTAAGGATCTACATTTAGAAGTAAACGTTATTGGTTTCTTCTTCTTCTTCTTGTGCCACATCTGTTATCGGACGTTGGCGATCATGTTGGCGATCCTGTTCAATTCCAGGTGTATCTATTTAGAGGATTGCAGTCTATTTTAAAAAGATCACTTCAGTGATGTATGGGCCCACAATATGTGATTGGCTTTGATAGGTAGCTTCCTTCACAAAATCAAAATGTGTATAGTTCTCTTCCTATGATTAAATTATCATACATGCGCTTAATTGAAGATTGCTAGTATTTAATTCATAACAGTTCAGAATTGGCTGTACATGAAACTTTTCTTCTCTCTGTTGTAGTCTTAAAATGAAACAACCAGAATTATTGTATGATATTAAAACATTGCACTGCTTTAGGAAATTACTAACTTACTAAATAATTGATGGATATAAAAATGCTGAGCATTTTGAAATTCTAAATTGATATACAGAGAATCATCTAGCTAATTCCTGTTTTTTCCTATAAAATAAAATTCTTCTAATGTACTCTTATACTAATTTATCTTTAATACAGTCCTCTGAGCCTGACAGTCTGTATTTTGGTCTAACTCCTATCAGCCTCAGTCAACGTAGCCGGGGTTTGGATAATGGAAATTGTAGTCGGTTGAATATCTAAAAGATCCAGATTGGGGGAGAGTGTTTAATGTTATCATTTGAAATGCAAGAGTAAAAAAAAAGTTGTTGTTTTTTTAAACAAATAATTGGACCATGATTTTTAAGAAATTATGAAAGGATTTTAACTCTGGTCCTCATTTCCTTGACACTTGTTAATTTTTAACAATAATGAGGCAATATTAATATTAATAATAAATATTTCCGTAATCTATATACAACAACACATTTTTAAACATTTTCTTCATCAAATAAATTTACACTGGTAACAATAGAAAGAGAATATGGACTCAGTATGAGGCCTAACAGATGTAGTATTAATGGTTTGTTCTGATTGTTGGTGCTGATGAGTTTTGCAAACTCCAGAGGACATCCAAATTTTATTCAAACAGTGAAGGACTTAATTATCTTTTGCAAATAATGTCTGCAGAGAAAAATATGAGAAAATTCATGAACACTTAAGAATGGAAATGTGGACCAGCAATAGGGTTAGATTAATTTGTGTATAGCAATTTCCCGAGTTGACCATTGTTGGAATCAGGCTTCGAGTAAAAAGGGCAAGAACATGCTAAAATAGCGTAAAAGCAAATTTCTGAGTCAATAAATACTTTTTTTCCTGTTGTTGCATTAACACGTGAACCATTTCATATTAAAATCATGTGATGACTAATCACTATATTGATATATTAAAGACATTGGCTTATCATTTAAGGCACTCTAATACTAGTAGCATTTTTCTTCCTTGCATTCTATTTTTTTTATATAACAGTAGCTTGCTCCTGGCTGCTGTGGTTTCTTGCTTTTTCAGTTCCTTTTGCATACAAATTGAGAACAGGGTGGTGGTGGTAGTGAAATGGCTTTCTTAAGCAGTTTAAAAAAAAAAAAAAAAAACACCCATTAATTAAAGCTCTATGATTTTTCCCCCTTTCTCTAGACCAGCATGTTTTGGAAATTTGATCTTCATTCATCATCCCACATAGACACACTTCTAGAGAAAGAAGATGTAACACTGAAGGAACTGATGGATGAAGAAGATGTGTTACAAGAGTGTAAAGCTCAAAATCGCAAACTTATAGAATTTCTTTTGAAATCGGAATGTCTGGAAAATCTAGTATCATTCATTATAGAAGAGCCACCTCAAGACATGGATGAAAAGATCAGATACAAGTAAGAAATATGTTTAATCTAAAAGCTGGAGACTGAAAAAATAAAAAAAAAGTTGGGAAAAAGAGATTTGCATGCTACTAATTTTAGGGAAGTGTGGGTTGTATGCTAAGATAGATACTCTCAAAAAAAA